ATGACATCCTAAAACGTGCGCAACTCTTCTTGGCACATCGTGTAGGATATTTCGAATTATTATATATCACAGTCGATCTTAATCCACTTTCCAATTAAGGATATCTTATTAACGTACTGTGTAAATTATTGTCTTGGTAAACCTTTTGGGTAGGAATACTATAGATTATAGTCTGGACTGCATTCTGATCCCTAACGGATCACGCATGAGCACACACACCCACTGGTTGCAATAGATTGCTTTTAGACTTTGATTTTTTGGTAACAAGTATAGTTTCATGTGGGCTTGTTGTCTGACACGCGGAGTTGATGAAAAATGCAAATCTGAGTCACAATTGGTGGTTGATGTGAGATCAATATTCTTTGCAGACGAGTAAATTCGGAATAGCCACCAGTGACCTGACCGAAGTTCAATACAGATTAAAGAAGAAATTCTATCTCCACGTGTATGATTAATTTTTTGTACTCACCTTTCCAGTTTACTTTTACGAAACTGGCACGTGTAGTAGTCTGTGGGTGGGTTTGGGACCGCTTGTTGCATGATATTCGGGATCCGCAGTGCAGCCAAAACCGAGGCGGACCAATTGATGCGACGGGTTGATGTGGATTTCTAGTCAGATGAACGTATGTATAAAAAATGGAAGCACGGCACAGTTCAGGTGAGGTGTGTATCCCAAATTGTGAAATATAGTTCAATACATAGTCTCGGGAAATCAATGGTATGCGGACAGGCTGACTTGCGTAACTTCGACAACAGTCATTAACAGTTCCCTTGATGTTTGTCTAAACATGCGCTGAAAATGCCATTGGTGAGTAAGTTTAAATCATGTTGGATTGAGTAATTACCAAACTGCTAAAAATTCTGTAATTCTGTAAAATCCTGTATAGGGAAGTGATCGGGAGGAGAGAGTTGGGGTTAGTGAACATTTGTTTGGCTTCATGTGGCAGGGTGAATTATCATAGGGCCGCAGAGATCCAAAATCAAATTCACTTTCCAGGCCAACTCGGGGCCAGAGTATTCGGGCTGTTGTGGCCAGTTTCATCTGTGTATACAGTACCAAATTCAGGAGTTGAGTGTCTAACGCTTCGTTTTCTACTACTGTTGTGAGATGCTACTCATTTGTGAGTAGTAGGTAACTTTCAATGATCAAAAATATGACAAGACCACCGAGGGTCAAATGGTGCGTCTGAAAGAATAACTATCGACTACCCTATGCATTATTCGATGTGCCGCCAGGAACGGTGATAGGATGTTTCTGATCAGGATTTTGTGTTATGCATGCAAAATTACTGACCTCCCAGCTGTAATCGATTAAATGAAGACCGCGAGGAGTAATGCCTTGTGGAATTGTAATACTACCGTTTCACGTTGTCTCGTGAGAGAGTTGATCTGGTTGGAGGTGTTCCGTGTAGGATTTCGATATTGTGATTTTAAGCTTCCGCGAGCTGAACCGCGACCACATTGAGTTACTGCTTCCTTCATACCCCTAGCTGCCAATNACACACACCCTTAATAGCCCCCTGGCCCCTATGTCCACGCAGCTGGTCAACCTGTGTTACGTCACTGTCACTGGCTTGCTTTGGTCGATTCGGTTTGAGATTGGGACCTCAACACCACCGCCACCACCACTCCAGTCTGGCGGTAAGCAGCATCGGTGTCGTTCCGCACGAATTCCACACTGATGATAGTTGGCCTTATGTGGCTTGTCACACCAAATCCCAGGACCCGGTTTGCTGATTCCGAAGTCAAGGCAGTTCAATTAGGTTTTTGGTTACTGTCTTTTGGTGCCCTATATGGATAAAAGAGCAGTAAGAAGATTGGAATGTTGGAAGCAAACTCAAGTGGAAGATGGAGAATTAATATAGATTGGTGTTAGGGAAATAATGAGTCGATGCACGCTCGCCGTGGAAACCTACCTGGAGACATGCGTAACACATGAGCCAACCAACGTAATCTATGGAGGTTCCAGTGGGTAATCACGATTATCTAAGACTCTACGACTAACCTCAGCATTGCTCGTCCGGTTACCCCACCAGACTCGTGCATTACGACGTAGACAGTGGTGTTCGAACACGGACAACCTATTTTTATCCTATTACTGTCTCTGCACTGTAGAGCAGGAATAGCGAAACTGCTGTAGAATATACTCGACCTTCACAGACAGCAGGATGTCGCGACAGCGCCATTTATGTCTCAAGTTGGCAAATACCAACCGAGCCTTTTTTATACGCGCCAAAACCTCATCTGTGATGCGTCCGCCAGGTGAGATATACCTGTCCAGATAACAAATTTGTATCTTCTTTCTCTACTATTGCCCCAGTCAGGGTGAAACTGGGTGCTGGACCAAACCAATCTTGGAGCAATGTTTTACACTTTGAAGCTGCAAACTGCATACCGAAAATGGCTACACTAGCACTCAATATATCCGGAAAAGCTTGCAACTTACCTGGATCTTCACTTACTAGCACAATGTCATCTGCATACTCTAGATCAAACACTCTATCACCTAGAAATAAACCGATAACACTATCCTCGAACGAGGATAAGGCTGTTTGAAGAATTAAATCTATCAGGAAGTTAAATGAAAACGGAGAGAGAACAACCCTGTCGAACACCACTTTCCATGATGAACTCAGGTTAAAAATTGCCGTAAGCTAGGACTCAAATTCAGCTAATAACATAGAGCTATTGTAATATTGAAATAAAATTCCCGGGCACACCCTTTAGAGCGAGGCAGCGCCAAAGTTTAGAGCGGTCGACTGAGTCGGAAGCCACCTCCAGATCTAAGAAGATAGAAATGGTGGGTCTACGAAAGACGTGTCTGTTTACCAGAATTTCACGAAGAGTGAAGATGTGGTCGANTGGTCGATACAACCTCGACCAGGTCTGAAATAAGCCTGGTTCTCACTTGAACACCGTTCACCTGCGGCAGACAATCGACGGATTATGATACCCGTGAGATATTTAGAGATGATGTTGATTAAACTAATTCCTCTTTGGTTTTCACAAGAGGATCTATCACCATTGTTGTAAATCGGTATGATCACCGATTCACACTATTCAGTTGGAGCCTCTTTCCTCTCCCACACTGAGCCCAGTAGTTTTGTTAACTCCAAAACCAAGGCTGGACCTCCATCCTTAAAAAGCTGATGGAGACAGCCCGTCGGGGTCGGAATCCTTATGCCGTCTGAGATTACTTATTTCCCGGGTAACCTCTATTTCAGATGGAGGACTGGTGTCAACTGACAGTATTCGCACAGTTGAACCGGGTAGGGGAGAGGTCTTGTGTCGACGGGGATCAGCTGAACTGTTCCTAAAAATGTTCTGTTAAATGTTAAAGACGGCATCCCTGAGTTTGCATCAGTGTGCCGTCAGTCTCGTTAATTACCTCACTTATGCTTACTTTCCTTGGTCTTGTACTCCCAATTAAACAAAAAAGGTTTTGATTATTACCAATAGCCGCAGTCTTCTCCATCTCTCTACACCTCCCTATCCACCACTTCTCGCGATCAGTCCTCAGGCTCTTGATGAGCTGGTGTTTAAAGGATTTGCGCTCTTTATCGTATTTTGAATCCGAAGGAAGGGCTTCGCGAGCGTCCAGCAAGGCAACCGAGGTTGGGGAGATCCGTCTTTTTTATTTGATCGTGCTCCAACATTTGCCGTTGTTCTGATCGACGTGTGAATCGCTGCATTGATTGCCGTCCGGTGTTCACTGATTCCTCCGGCTGATGGTTGAGCTGAGAGTCGATCTGATAGTTCTGCTTTGAAGGCCGATTTGCAACCATCGCTGATACTGTATTGTGGGTATCCGTTTTTGGTGGCTGTTCTGCAGTTGTTTATCGGGCGTAAGAAGAGTCGCACTCGTAGCAGAGCATGGTGTGTGTCCACGAGTATTGACCAGTAGCAGCGGCAGTCCTCAATGGATCCACGCCAGCGGTGGCTGATGGCGATGTGGTCGATTCGAGTCCAACGCTGTGAAGAAGTTGTCAGTCTCCATGCGAGCCGGTGTCGATTCTTGTGCGAGAAGTTGGTGCTTCACAGGAACAATCCGTGGTTGCACAGAGTTGAAGTAGGCGATCACCGTTGTCAGTCCGGTTAGCGAGGACTGCATGTGAACCACCAAGCAGCCTTTCCGATTCGTCCAGGGATCCCACGTGAGCATTAAAGTCTCCAGCGATTACCGCGATGTCCGTTGACCGAGCACTTTGGAGCAGTTGAGAGAGGTCCTTTTAGAATTCATCTTTCATTTCGGGCATACTGCAAGCGGTTGGTGCATAGGCGGATACAATGAACAAACATCGACGCTGAGTTCTGTATCTGTTGATTCGTACTGAACCATGCAGACGAACAGCGCAAAGTCGGTTGCTAACCAGGATCCAGTAGAAAAGCGAACACTCGGGCTTGACACTTAGCGCAATCCCAACACCAACAACATCGCGAGTTTTGGGTGATGAATCGTCCGACGCACGGAGAGTGAAGCGTGAGGATGGGGTTAGATCTGGAGAATGCAGCGAGATGATTGAATAAGAGTCTTGTATGCATGTTTCGGAGAAGCAGCGTACATTTAAATGGAAGGTTTCAAGGGTTCTAGCTAAGGCAGCCTGTTGGTCGATCTGGTAGAGTGTGCGGATATTGAATGCAGCTAAGTGAAAAGTGGGTTTTGGTTTCAAAAATCTGGTAGCCTCTAAGTGGTTGCCCTTATTTGTTGAACGCTGAGTGCTAACCGATGGGGTTCGTAAATAGGAGGCATCTGCGATTAGCTGGAACTGAGTAACAAAATTAGACAGATGGGAAAGACGGTTTCCCAAATGGGTACCTATAACTTTAGGGCACGGTATACTTCGCAGCCCACACCGACGAAGGGCTTTTTTCCTTGGACCCCTAATCGGAGCCGTCGACTCAAAAGTCTGACCCACAATGCATTGGTATGTAAATCCAACGCGGGAGCGTAAACGGAGCACCTGTGTGGGAGCTTCTAGAGACCTGTCACTCAAAGCCTTCGGGCTTCGGTTCAGTGTTTTGTTTGCTAGTGTGTTGGTTGGCGTTCCGCTTTTCGGGATCGGCCCTTAGTCCGCCCCTACGTTCATCTAGTGGGTTTTTTGACCGGAAAACTGCCCCTCACCCTTTTTATTTGCCGGATTGACCTCTACAGGGGCGAATGTGGGTAGAAGGATGAGGCCAGGAGATGCCCAAGCAATTGGCTTTGTGAGAGTGAGCTTCGTCTAGCCTCTACCCATTGACATTTCAGGCATGGTTGAATTTACGGCTAATAGAAGCCATCCTGTGTGGCTCGCAGTTTCATGGAAGCATGCAAGCCATCGCGCCACGTCAAGATACAGTCTCGTCGTGATGAGAAGTCAGTATTAGCTTTATGCACCCGGATGAGTGAATTTTCAGCATTTCACAACAAATTTGTGGATACAAATTTACAAAATCATACATAATGAAAGTGAAAGCAGTAGATTTTGTTTGTCAATAAAGCAAGCAATTATACAATTCTGTGGAAACTTTCTACTTGTCAACAAGTAGACATGCTAAATATGGCAAAACAGAATTTATGATAAGAAGACGCACGTGCAAATAAAACCTTAAATCTTGAGCGTACGGATGATGTAGATACAGCTTTTCAAAATTCGTTGAGTAATGGGTGATGAGTATCTGAGAGTATTTTCGGAGTGAAATTTTCACATACCTGTCTATGATAGAATCCGCCAGTTAATCCCTGACGATGCCATTAAATTTAGAGATTTGTTTCAGAGGTCTGGCCTTTATATAAAACCCTTTCTTCCACATACCGTTAAAATCACTGGGAACGAATACAACCAGTGGGGAGCACGCATGTATTCACAAACCTAACAACCAGCTTGTGGTGGACAGAAAGTATTCTCAATCAAATATGAAAGCTTTCTAGCTTGACAAAATGTGCTTTTAACATGCAGTGACCATGATAACTTGTGTGCTAATTCGACGCCAATGTATCTTACTATTGTTGAGTTCCGTTTGAGTTGTTAATTGGCAGAGAGAAATAGTGAGGAACCTATCTGTGAGAGCGGAATATGGGAAAACACAATATTCTGACATTTAGAGGCATTCAATGAGAGGGACCGAGACAAGAACCAACTAACCACATCGTTTAGCTTGGTTTGAAATTCTTAAGCTTCTTCAGGGGTGGATACTTTGCAACCCAAAACAACGTCATCTGCATATTCACAGCTAATGAATGTAGGAGAAATGGGAAATAGTGTGACATACATAGAAAAGAAATATGGGGAAAATATTGCACCTTGCAGGACACGAGAAAAAACTGGGCGAGTGGAGGACTTTTTTCCGTTGAAACATTAAAGACAAAAATGGGGGGGGGGATTGCACTTTGCAGAACACCAGAGCAGCTATGCTAGTAGATGATTTTCCACCGCCCAGGCACGTAAACTGACTTCTATTTGTGAAATAATCGCGGATCCATCTGTCAACGGTTGGATTCATACCAATTTCGGTAATCAGGTTGAGAAATACCGATCGATCAAGACATCCGAAAGTGTTTTTTAGTCTAAGAGTATCATTCTGACAGTCTTACTTTTCTTATCTAGTGCTGAAATTATTGAATTAACAAGCTATGCAACGGTATCAGATGGTGAGCGGGAAGAATGATATGCAAATTGATGTCGTCTTCTGCAGACTCGGTGACAGCCCACATTATCAAGCACCTCTCAAATAATTTGAGCATGATTGACGTGCAAGCAAAGGGTGGATACTTCTCAGGCTCCTTTTTTGGAATGGGACTTATCTTGGCTAGTCTACAAATATCAGGAATCTTTGCCCTTATCATATAATCATTAAATATTTTAGACAATGGGGCTAAAAGAGTGTCCGCACATACCTTGAGTACTACGGGTGATATTTCATCCGGACTCGTTGCTTTATTCATCATTGTTTCAGTAGCTGTTTAAGGACCATGGCGGGTTTGAGAGTTGATGTTGGCATAGAGCTAACCAAGTCTGGCAGCGCAGTCCATTGTGAAACTTGACTAAGCTCGGAATTTAGTCTTTCAACTTCGACAGTTTCCCTTTTGTGCTTATTGCTACTGCCACACAGGCGGTTGTTAGCTCTCCACTTGTCATGACAACTGGAGTTTCCCAGGATAATTTCAATGCACCATTTGTTCAACTCATTTATTTCAGCTTTGATTACGATTTTAAGCACCTTGATATGGAGTAATTGCCCATGTTTACCAGTCTGTTCTTTCCATCCGCGTAACTGCTTGAGTAGCGGTGATGAATATCTGTCTTTATGGATAAAGACCGTTTCAAGTGGACAACACTGGTCAAAACAGAAATTAAGGTAGTCCGTAACATGTTCGCAGAGAACAGATGGGTTCTGATCGGGAAACACCGAAAAATCTGTGGTTGCAATCATGTATCTTAACCTTTCTATGTTCTCCGATGAATAATTTCTTTGACTCATTATCTTGGAAGGCCTTCTTAAAAATGTGTAGCGGTTGGTTTTGTTGTATTTGGTGGAACATACTTTTAAGATACAGTGATCTGAACTGCTCAGACGAGCATGTTTCTGGACTTCAAACATTGCGGTCTCTTTGGAAAAAGAGAATCTAGCTGTGAACCGAGTCTGGTAGGAAAATGTACCACATTTTGTAGACTCAGTGTGGTGAGGAAAGTTACATCATTTATGTTAAAATAAACCAACAAATACACACAGAGATTCGCTTGTTCTGGATATGATGGAGGTAGAAAAATGCCAGGAAACCCATTTATGTCAGCCGCTGATACTTTGGGCGACAGGTAACAGTTTCCGAGACGTATGGGACGGAACCCACCCAAAAACCGGGGCTCACGTTTGATATGGTAACTGATTTTATCCGTTGAGTATTCGTATATGACGGCGGTTGATTTACTCCAGTTGTCGCAAACGTAACTTGCAACACCTCCACCTCNCCACCTCTATCTGTTACGCACGATCAACCCGATACAAGTTTTATTCATCCGGTTGTACCAATTCACTGGCAATTTCTTCCTGCAGCCACAATTCCTGCAGCATAATAATTTCTAGGTTTTTGTACTCCTTTCTCCGCGTGTTCTCTACTATCTCCTCCACTTTTCTCAACAGAGAACGAACATGGCTTGTTAAAATGAGAGGAATTTGCATTTGACTGATAATGCACTGTCTGAAACCGACTTGCC